TATACAGTACATAATTTACAGTATATAATGCTAAATCTGAACATCAAAACTTTATTGTAACAATTCTATTATATTTTCTTTATGACAAATCATTTACGCCTTTGGAACTGTGACTTACCATTATATCTTATGTATAATAACAAAATATATTCGATAACAGAAGTGCAAAATTTCATATCATTAAGAAGTGCAAATTTGCATACATATTATACAACTTGATAAAACAAAGATAATTTAAATTTCATTGTAAACAATTTTTCAAAAACTTTCAGAAAATGAAAATTTTATAATTTAGAGTCAATTATTGTCAGGAAAAAAATCCTGATTAAATTACGAAAGTTTCATAAAAGATGTAAATATACAAATTTTGTAAAAGACACCTCAAATGAATAAGAAAAGCTATAGGGATAAGTAATCATATATTTTGATTTGTTTTGTTATTCTGCATGCAACATAAAAAAGGAATTCTATTGTAAATAGATAACTGGATTTCATTGAATAGTGTAAAAATATGAAACAAGACATTAATGATAAATGTAATTTAGTAAGACAAGCAATTTGCAATGTGCTTCCTTAATATTATAATTAAAAAAAATGGTGATGAGAATAAAAACCATTTGGAATGTATAATAAATAACCATGGAATGAAATGTTAAAATAATAAAGTTCTAAGATTATGAATACATTATAAAGGTATATAAATTTATATTATGAAATAACAAAATCAATCGTTAATGGCATTAATATTTTTCACCATCAATCACATATCCCCAAACTTACATAACATATTAATTCAGTAAGTAATAATGTTCCTGCATAAAACCCTTGAAATATCCAAAAGTTTATAGAATTTGGAATGTTAACACACACCTGTAAAACGTGGGCACTTTTGCAAGTCTCAATTATGACTCACATTATAAACAAAAAGAAACATGTAGGTGTTATACTAAATACATCAAGGATTGTAATTTATTGGTATAAAAAACATGTTTATAATTTATACTCAGCATTGACTGTTTACTTTATCATCCAGCAAATAGTTAATCCTTTATGTATAATTCAACATATATCATTTAAGATAAAGAAAATTTATAGATCTAAAATGTTATAAAGTAACAGTACATGAAGATCTATTCAGTTGTAATAAGTATAAATTCATTTGTAACCATGAGCAACTCTCACTGAATAGTTTTCTTATTTAACATATTCATTTGTTGTGTGATCATTAACAGGAAAAATTGTAAAAGAAGAAATTAAGATTTTGTGAGCATTATCTTAATGAGACAATCATGGTAAACAGGGAAAAGAAAAAGTAATTTCAAAGTAGATTTATGTATAGGAAAACCTATAAACCTATGAATTAAAAAGAAATAGACGCAAGATTTTGAGTATGAATTGAGTATACATGATAAGAGAGACAGGGTATCCTTGATAACTTGATTAAATGTAAGGAATATACATGAATAGAATTTAATTCTAAAATCTGATTATAGGTAAAAAAAATATGAAGATAAAAGAATGAACTTATTACATACAATGTTTAAGGATGCGTTTTTTTAGAACTTAGGCGTAACTTAAGGTTTATACAACACCCAGCATACAGTGAAGTTTTCCACAGTAAAAATATTTCTACATTTGCTAAAGACAAAATCGTAATATATAATTGATTAAAGTGACATTATGCACATTTTTTCATTGTCATGTTGAAACTGAAATTAATATATGTTTCCAAAGATTGACTGTGATTGACCAGCAGTTGATATTGGAAAATTTTAAGGATAAAATATACTGAAATATAAAAAGACTGTCCCACTCTTTTTATAAACTGAATGTTACTAAGTCAATCCCAAATGAGATTTAAAGAAATTTCCTTGGGCCACGTCAGTTATTTATCATTCATGCGAAGTTAATTATAAAATTGAAATGAATTATTGCAAAATTTAAACCTATTTTGACTTTCACCTGTTCACTCACTATATACCCTTGGATGGGCATAACATCACTTTAATGATTACCATAATCTACATTATGTTTCTGTAACTACTCAAAATAGTAAGAAGTCAATTAAGCCATTTCTCATTCTCTTGAGTTTGAACCAATTTAAATATAATAAACATTATCTATACTAGAACTTACACAAGTATTACTTTAACTGCATTAAAATAGTTATTTTAGTAAACCTTTGTAATTTTTTCATGATTAATGCTTAAAAATGACTTTAAAAAGCCACTGACGTTTTGTAAAACATATCACAATGATCTTACACCTGAACAATGTACATGTAACCTATATCCATATAATTATGTATAACTGACAAAAAAACAACAAAAAACAACATGGATTTTCTTTACAAAATAATGGATTTCAGTAAATACAACCATATATTTTAAATAATATAATATGTGAAACATAACTATTGATTTTTAATAAGTTATACATAGATTTTGTAGAAATTAATAAACTTGAACCATAGATTTTTAGTAAAATATGAATTTCTGTGCAATATGATAAATCAAACCATGGTTTAGTAACACTTGGCTGACAAAATGTAGAATAATGTGCATTAAAACTTGCTTTAAGTATATTTACAAAAATTATGTTACTAGTATAACTTTTATATTAATCCTAACACTGAATCTAGCCTAACTAAAATAATATTAAAGATATGACAAATGATTTAGGAGGTAGCAATTAACTTTGGATTTCTTTATATAAATCGAAGAAAAAACAATTTGTTTAAATTCTGTACATTAATAACAACAATAGTAACTATATGAATACTGTTTTAAACTACATGTAGATACACTGTCAAATCTGTCCAATTCTGGCAAATTAAATCTATGTTACAGATAAACCAGTTCAACCATTTTTGTAAGGAGATGTAAACTGTCCTAAGATTTATGTAAAAAAATACTGCATGTGATGTAAAAGCTCATTTGATAAGAAATTTAAGTTAAAAAGAGGCACAACTCTAAAAATACTGTTTTCATAATTATGTCTCTTGTCTGCATCTTGTTATAATAAGCAAGTATTCATGTTGTTCACTTTTTAAAAAAAGGTTGAATAATGGGCAATATTAAAGTTTTTACGTCAACAACGATGACAATGATGATGACGATGCTGCACAGATCATTATAGCTCAACCTTTTCTTGAAAACAGACAAGCTAATAAGAAATAATGCTTCACATCTTCCAGTATTTTTCCTTCATCTACTGAATTAATGCAACTGATCTGCCTTGCATTCAATTTGGAATAGTCCATTAAAAGATTAAGGGATTTCATTATCAAAATACAAAAATTGAGCTACCAACAGTATAGTGCCTGGTGACCTGGTTGTATACTGGTGACAAATACTTATCACTGATACAGTAAGGTAAGGGTTATCTGACATTTATACGATAACAAACTAGAGTGTGCTCTGAACATCAGGAAAAAATTTATCCAAAAATATTTGAAATAGAAAATCACTAAAAAAAAATAAATGTACATCACAGGAAATTATTTTCAATAGATTATTTTGTCAAATAGCTTTACAGAATTTTAAATCTATCAAGATTTTAATGTAAAATATCTTTACAGAAAATGATATATTTCTAGAAGGCAGTTTATACTACATAATTAATTTGATATTTTAGAAAAGTATCTCTTTTTTTAAGTTCTTTAGTAAGTATATCAGAACTCTTTTTAAGTTACATTGTAGGAAATATTATATCAAAAACAATTTATGTATGAACATAATGAACACTAGTGTGAACGTCCCAATCCCTTCACTATTATATGATATGATTAAAATCTTTTATCTGTGAGTAGATTTATAGATAAATTTCTCACAAACTTTAACATTATAACAGAGATGTAAACAAATACTTAACTATATAAGTGCATGCAACTATTATATCAATTAATTGAAAGCTTCTCTCAAGTTTATTTCTTATCTATTGTACATTTAACAACCAATCAAAAGCTCAAATATCTAAGACTGACTTTCAAAACTCAATGTGCCTAAAACATCATAAAAAGAACAAAAGCTATTTAAAATGTATATCCGTGGGCAGAGTCCATAAAATGATGTTTGAAAACAGTCAGTAATGCATAACATATTACAAGTTACTTATAAATGTTTTATTGTACTTAAAGTCTTTTATCTTAATTATAATGAATCAATATTTCAGGAAGTATAATTTATATGCATCACTGAACATTATCATAATTAGGGCTTCATTTAATTTTCTACATATAAGCACAGGATAGTCTAATAGTTAACAAGCAGACTAGTGGGGGAAACATGGCAGATAACAATGTATATTAATAACAAATACATTTGTGTTTTCCATCTAAAATTCATCAAAAGCCATGTACCATTCAATTTACCTATGGTTTTAAATTTAGCCGAGTACAAAAATCTAGTTATATTATAGGGAGTTTCAGAATTCAAAGTAATTTCACTTGAATAACATAAGAACATTATTCTAGATCATATGATATAGTTTGTATTCATAGTAATATAAACCATTACAAAACTCTTCATATTATATGTACACACTTCTATTTTATAATACTCCCTACTTGGATATATATACTATAAAGTAATGATACAACAGCAAACCCAGTAAAGTTAGTATGTCAATCTTAATTGTGGTAGTACCCAAGGGCAAAACAATGTTGTGATCATCCCTGCGTAAAGTTAATGAGAGACATCAGTTTAAAAATGGTATATCAAACAGTGATAGTGCTGTTATATAACTTCTAAAAATTAATCATACAATCTAAGTCACTTTATACAGATTTACATGAAACTTTTCTCAAAAAATGTTCTGGACTATAACTCTCAACATTTGTGCTGTAAAACCTATTCCTAGTCTTGCTTTATTATAAGTATATATGATATGAGAACTTGGTATCACCTTAGTGCAGTAACAGGATAACTCCTATTGAATTATATGAGGAGTTAACTCGTTACTGCACTAAGGTGACGTTGTATGTGTAAGTTCCTATCTTTATAGCAGGTCCTAAGACAACCTTTTTTTTATTAGTAACTAAAATAACTGACAGGTAAAACAAACTTAGAATACAATGTACCATATCATTGAAAGACAAATTTCTGTAACAAGTCACTGCCCTAGACAGATGTCAAATCTGAAGAATAAAGTCTCTTATCATAAAACATAACATTCAGCAGTTAATGCACATGTAATAGTTGGGTTGTTTTAAAATACAATGTGATATCTGCAGTGCCAATTATCATCATGTATATGTAACAGCTGCAGTTTTCCTCTCATTCATCATACATTGAATCTTAATACAGTAATATACTTTACAATCTAATGTATGTCAGTACATGACTGTGTAATAATGATTTTATCTTTATAAGAAATATTTCCATACTTATATTACTGTTGAATATTGTGTAACTTTCTAGTCCTTTTGTAGACATTAGCTTGTACCTTACAGGACTAAAACTTTTTCTAAGATGTCTGAAGATGATGAAGATAACAACAAAATAAATATCTAGCAACAACAAAACAAATATATATAAAAACTCATCAACAACCTTAAAAAAAGAATTTCACAAGTTTATACAAAAAAATGCTTTCCTCAGTTCAAAAATTAATACAGAATCATTCCGTTATCTACAACCTTTTCTGCCTCGCTTGAGAATGAACATTTCAGCTTGTATCCGGAACATACAAGAAGTATAATATTTATAAGGTACATGGCGACAGCTCCTGGCACAAGATAAAAAGAGTAACCAAAGTTTGTGTAGTCAGTTAATTCAAATTTATCGCTATCATCTTCTAGCAGGTAGTTCTTCTTCAGTGACGTTAAAAATAGAATGAGGAACATGACCATGTCAAGAAGAGCAAACAGAACTGAAATAATAAAGATACTTGTTAAACAAAATTACAAGATTGAAAATATGAAATTATTAAATATCAAAGTATATATTTTTAGTCAAGCTGTTGAGGCCACTGACTCCAAGATTCCTGCACCTCACTGCAATTAGTTTGACTTCTGCTCAGGTGTTTGGATTTATTCATGTAAGGAAGATATCCAGCTACCTTACAGAAGGTCAACAGGTCAACTCAGATGTCAACTCAGGCCTGAAATAATGCACTAAAGGGTTCTTACTTCATCAGTAAATAAGGAAGGTCACTAATAAAATAAATATACAGTATGACCTTCATGGTCTTGTTAGACAACAAAAATCAATCAAGGTCACTAATATATGACCTTTACAGTGTTGGTATGACTGTAAAACCCAATCAAATAAGTAAAAGGCTGAAAACCTTTTCTCATTGAAATATCTATAATAAGTTTGTTTCCATAGTGTTTTTTTCCTTTATTCTTTCATGACATATGAAATCAGACATACTAAATTTCAGTCATACCAAACAATTGCTTGAATGAGTGTTGCCTATGTCAAGGCTGTCATATAATATATGCAACGGCTAGCAATATTGCTTTTTACAGAGACTTTAAATCAGCATGGGTATGTGATACATTGTTACAATACTAAAATACAACAAGAACGTGTTTGTTAAACACAAATGCCCCCCGCCTCAGATTCTTGTCAGTAGCAATATTTCAAAAAATGTTTACCCATTCACTCAGTTATGGACAGAAAAATTGCCAAAAAATTGTAAACACAAGTTATATAGCTTGACAAAGTCATGGCATTTTGTAATTGTGAAAAATATAAGTGGCCAAGTCATTGCTCTGACTTGTGAAGTTGAAAAATATTCATGCAAGTTATCTTCCTACCAAATATGAAATGCATCTGTCATTAAATAAAGGCTGTAAGGGCAAAAGTGTTAAAATCTACTTTGAGCACTGGTGACCTGGACCAAACTGACCCCTAACTCTATCCAAAAGAAGAATACCATGTAAGTTATCTTCCTACCAAATATGAAATACATCTGTCAATAAATAAAGGCTGTATGGGCAAAAGTGTAAAAATCTATTTTTAGCACTGGTGACCTTGACCCAACTAACCCCTTACTCCATCCAAAGGAAGAATACCATGCAAGTTATCTTCCTACCAAATATGAAATACATCTGTCAATAAATAAAAGCTGTATGGGCAAAAGTGTAAAAACCTATTTTTAGCACAAAGGACCTTGACCCACTGATCCCTACCCCAATCAAAAGAATGAATACCATGCAAGGTATCTTCCTACCAAATATAAAATATATCTGTCACTTAATAAAGGCTGTATGAGCAAATGTTTAAAAATCTATTTTTTGCACTGGTGACCTTGACCCAACTGACCACTAACTCCATCAAAGTTTATGTTTCTATCAATTATAAATAACATCTGTCTATAGAATAAGGTCAATACACCTGTAAAAATGTAAAAATCTATTTTTAACATTGGTGACCTTGACATTGGTAACATTGACCTTGACCCAAATGACCCCTTACTACACCCAAAGAAGGAGGACCTCCCTTGGCATGTTTGTATTAAACTAAGACATCAACTAAAAAATAAAGGCTGTATGAGCAAAAATGTTTATATTTATTTTTTAAACCAGTGACCTTGACCCTAGAGACCGCTTACTCCACAAAAAATTAGAGGACCATCAAAGGTATCCACCTACTAAATATGAAAGATATCATTAAAGAAATTAAGCAATTAGGAGAAATTTAAGATAAATCCAACTTGCCGAAATAGGTTAACCAGACAAGGCCCTATTTTCAAAGTGAAAAAAGGGAAATAACTGGGAAATATGGATGACACAGTTATATAACTTGGCAATATCATGTACTTTGTATTGATAAGTAAGTGTGGAAATTATAAAGCCATTAGTATAGATAGAACTTAAGATATTTCCAACTTGCCGTTTTAGGTTAACCATTATTCATTTTTTAAGTGCTGAAAAGGGCAATAACTTGGTAAATATGAAAGCCAGAGTTATGTAACTTGCCCAGATCATGTACTTTGTATTGATTAGTAGGTGTGTAAACTTAGAAGCCATTGGTACAGTAGGACTTAAGAAAAATCCAACTTGCCATTCTAGGTTAACCTCGTACAGACAGACAGACGGACGGACGGTTCAATTACTATATGCCCGGGGGCATAAAAAATTTTCATTTCCTTCTATGAAGGGCAGCTAATCAAGCATCATGATATATACATGTATATTTTTTCTATAAATTACATTCAAGGTTGGTCACTTACATGCAATGCCATTCCAAATGTACAAGCCCATAGGTCCAGTGATTGTCTCTATTGGTTTCCCACAAATATTGAAGATAGCGAAGCCCATAGATATAAGCCCAAATACGACACTCAGTGCAGCACTGATGATAGAGCTCACCCAATAACCATAGTTAAACAAACCCTTCATATACAATGGCACATCATCTGTTCCTGATACAAGGAAAGAAAGAAAATATTATCACAAAAATCAACTGAAGTTAATATCAGTAGAAGTTGCCAACATAAAGACATTTATAAATATATAGTAAATATGTACTCAAATTGTATAAACCAAATTGTATCTCATTTGTATGATGCAAGCAAAAAATCTAGAATTTCCAAACAGGTAGCAATTGTTTGAGTGTAAGAAATTTTGTTTTCATACATTTATATACAACTTAACTTGTTTGAAACAGATACTATCATTTTGCTTAAGAAAATACTTTTAATTGTGTTTAATTTATCAAAGAAAAATAAACCTCTTTAGTAAAACAAACATTTTTACAATCATACCTGTGTTGTTTTTAGTATTGTTTTTAACAACATTGTATAGGGCATTGTGTATATACTCTGATGCTGAAATTGATCCTGTATCTGGATAAACCACACAAACACCTTCAGATGCTTCACAATGAACTGAAATATACATGTATACAATCATTATTATCATGTAAACATATGCTCCTTATCATCAATTGGTAATTTTATTCTAAAGCCCCACCCCCTCCCCCATTTCACCTTCTTTCATGTTTTGTTGCTTTTATTTTAACAAAAGAAAGGCTTCTGAGTCAAACTTAGTTACTTACATTGACTATAAACTTACAACAATAAAGATCTTTCTAAAGAACTCGCTGCTATTTTCAGTTCTTGGGCAGGTCTTTAAAAATAATTAGGTGTAAAAAGGAGAATAATTATGTAAAATTCCATTTAAGAAACTCCAACAGTCCTTTAAAGGGCTACCTCCTTTCATTATTGTCTCAGGTTACTGTACATTTAGGTTCTCACTGACCACCATACAGTAACCTAATTTTTGGCTCAAAATTCATATCTTTGGCTTATACTCTGTGGAAATTGGATGGAAGTAAATTACCACCACTTTGTGCTTCAAAATTAACTCTTTAAGGGCATGAATGGCGACATGTCTGGGGTCAATACTAAACAGTGAAAACTGCTTTTGTGCCTCAACGTGCCAGGCCGATGGACCCCCATTAAACATAGACAACATACATATAGGGTCACCTAAGAATTATACCTGTTAAGATTGATCAAGACCATCATTTATAAACAAACAAATGTTTAAACACTCCCATTATCAAATTATTATGTCCCTCTCTTTCTATTTTTGAAAAAAATTGACCTTAAGTAAAAAATAATTAAGGAAAAAGCTGCAGACTGCAGGGAAAAAATTCAGAATTAGCGGGAATAAAAATAGCATTAAAAAGCATTGAAGGTGCACTCAGGGAACAAACACAAAAGTATGATACAATGTAGCTTTAACCTTTAAGACCCTGACATGACATATACATGTATCAAGTTAACTTAAGGCATATAATATAGCTTTACTTAAGCTATTGATTTATACTGTTGGCTGCTTAACTAATATCTTAAACAAACTTTCCCATCTTTCAATATGGACAAAACCATTCATCACTTTTCAAGGAAAACATCAAAGTATGTACAAGCTGACTGAATTACAAACCATAATCAGACAGCAGACACATGTCAGCTGATCCTGAACTGATCTGTTAGCATTGGTAGAATCATCAAGGTTAATTTTGATACTGACATTCTTTAAATATTACAACTACATACAATGCATACAGTTCTAGGGACTTTTTTTCATATTTTTTACAGCCTTACCCAAGCCAACAGGCTATTTCCCTTAGCCAAATGTTCCCCTAAATTGGAGGCATGTTTTCCCTTTGAACAGAAAAACAGTTTTGTAACTGCAGTAAACAAAGTTAAATTACCAAATAAACATCTCTAGAAGAGAAAAACTGAAATTTGAAATGGTAAATTTGATTAATTTTAGTATGGCTAGTTTACATTCACAGTTGTTGTTGTTAGTTTTCAGCAATTCCCCATTTTTGATTTACTGAGCTGTATTTCCTCTTCAGAAACTCACAGGTTGTTTAATAAAATCATAAAGTAATCATTCAGTTCAAAATGCAAAGCAGATCAAGTATATTACTTGACACACAAAACCAGCAGGGTATAGGTTAAACATGTATAATACTGAAGGGCATGTGATATTCATAAATGATATAAGATAAAACAATCGATCAGTTATCTAAAAAGGAAATCTAATAAGTCAATAGTGTTTGATAAACAGTAAAAGTGTCACTTTTCTTCCTGAGGGCTATAATAACAGAAATGTTTGTGACAAACGTTTAACAAACCAAAGGTTAAACAGTAGCACACTTTCAACATTAATTTTATGAAGAGTTCATAATTATATGTAGCTCATTATTAAAACAAACAGTGTTTCTAAAATATACATGTATCTAAAACTGAAAATTTCAAATCAGTAGTAATTCCCTCCAACTACACTATCTATCTATCTTCCATTAATGGCGAACCCCTCGCGAGGATCTAGACTAGTCACTTCAGAGAAATCTATGAGATACAAGGGAATCCGGGAACCAGTCCCTAGCTCTTGTTGAAAAGACCTCTTGGTTCTTTTACATGCCCAGTGCATAACACTGATAAATGGGAGGATTACCTGGATTTCTTACCAGTACACCTCTAGGTACATGTAGGTGGGAAACACTGAAAGTGTTTTTGAAAAATCCCAAGGGTGTTACACAGGATTGAACACAGGACCTCAGGAGTGACAGCCAGTGGTCTAACCAACTGAGCTATCACGCCACCTTATATTACACTAACACAATACATGTATTTCATATGTGTGCCAGGTTTCTTTAAATAAATTAAATTAGATAAAGAAATAATGAAAATCTTTATTCATATCTGTCTATGCCAGCATATTTTATCACAATAAGAAGGTTAATCAGTCTGAGGCAGTAAAATACTCTAACCCGTGCAATACATGCCCCACCCTACATTGTATGTGAAAATATACCCCCCCTATATGTACCCATCCCCATACATAATATACCTGAACACATGCAAAGTGTATCACAAACTAATGCAAAATATACTCAATGGTTAAACCCCTGACCAATTATCACTTCATCCCATGCATACTTTTAAGTATTGAAATGGTTCATTATAGAAAAGTTGTTGAGCATATAAAATACAGCCTTATTTTTTGTCATCAAAGATAAAACCATTTATCACCTGCACTCATATTATTTTATCTTTAATTTAACAATTAAGTTTTTGGTATCTTTAAACATAGGACATTAATCTACCTGATTATACAACTTGCATAGACATGAAATTATTTATAATCCAATAAATGGAGTGAAATAACTACCTGTATTTACCATTGCTAAATGCAAGTCAATCATTATCTAATATAAAACTATATATAATTACTTTGTACTTCAATGAATCATTTAAAGAAAACACCCTGCCCATAACAATGTGTAACATGTAAATATCACAACTCTGGCCATGTGCAGTAAAACATTTTCATCAAAAATATATTTATTTGTTGTGTACCAATCTTAGAAAGTAATTTATCATGGCAGTTGTTGTGGTATGACACAGCTTGCAAAATTTGAAAATATTTTTGTTAACAACACCTTTCATTGTAAATAGACTAAACGGTAATGCCCCACAAGCAAAGTCCAGTAAGGAACAGGACCTTTAATTTAAAACTTGTGCATAATAGTTACTATAAAAAGAGATGAGAAACAAACACTTTCTAATATTCCCAATGTGCTGAATTACTTCTGGAAGCATCCATGGATGAAAAAAAAAAAATATGACTAGGTATGACCATCAATGCCAATGATGCACTATTTTGGCATCTTTTTGCTGTTGACATGGTGTTCTTCTTAATGTGCCTTAAAATTATGCCTAGTTATAACTTATTTCAAAATGCATACACGACTGACAGGATTAATGAACTGATTCAATCATCAATGTTACTTCTATAAAATCTATCATAAAAGTCTTAGCATGACTTGACCTTTAAACTATGAACTTCTACTCACTCATCTCAATATCACATATTTAAGCCAAGTTACTTTTAGTCTGTCAATGAATTGCAAAGATATGGGATGGGCATGGTCTATAAAATTTAATGCACTATCACATCATGACGTTTTTTACCTTGACCTCTGGGCTGCTAAACTAGATCATCATCATAGTAAGAAGCATATTCATGCTTAATTATTTCAAAAATCAATCCATGCAACGCACAACCATCTATTCAAGGTGACCTTGACCTTTGAGCTGGGGACCTAACACATCATTTTAAGGATAACAAAAACATTCTAGATTTATAATCATTTGGTTAGCTTCCGACCTTTTTCAACTACATGTATATAGGAAATATCAAGTGACAGTGATTTTTTTTCAATTTTCAAAACAACCTGTGGCTTTCGAAAGGGGAAAATATAGTGCGATAAAACAGAAAAAGGGGGAAACCTGAAATCTATATCTATAGGGACAGATTTCTGTCTTCTAGCTTATATTAGTCAGATGCTGTAAAGTCATAATTCTGGTCAGGAAGAGCACGAGGCATTTTAGGGGAAATATATGCATTTTTAGGGGAAATTTTACCTATTTTGAGCTAGGGGAAACAGCCTTTATTCAGCTGTAAAATACAGTGAAAAAAATCACTGAGTGATCAACCCCCCATCCCCTGTTAATGAAAAATAAACTTTCTTATCCTCTCCTGTTTTGTTTACAGTTAGATTACCCCTCTTTTCTATTCAATAGCCCAGACAGCTGTTGCAAAAACTATAACATACCTTCCCCATTATGGGGGGAGTAGGAGGGATTTAAAATATGTCATGAAAAGGTAGAGACTTTTCTTAATGCTTCAACAACAAAAAAATTCATTTATTCACAGAAATTCAGAAAGTAACAAATTATAATTATTAATACCATACAATCAAGTTACAGGTACTCCGCCCTGATTAAATAAGCATGACTCATTCCTTGACTGAATTAAAAACAGTTTTAACAAAATTCCTAATTTCATAGTAAAAAACAAGACTACATTAAAAATTTTGTATTTAACAAACTTAAAGTGTGGGTTGCAATTTTAATTGAATGCTTGATCATTATTGTCTTTCATCATGTTGATGCAAATATTTACCTACTGACAAATCATTGATCAGAACACAGTAAAATCTGTGATGTATTGAATCCCTCACAATCTACCTATATTTACACAAATGACCATGAAAACGTGAGGAATTCAACTGTAAGACCTCTTGAAATTCTCTTAACTGATAACACATAAACTACTGATCCTATATCCCGACATAAAAGGAGTAATGTATGTTGCCTTCATAGTTAAGATCAAATCAAATACTACATCTAATGGTGAAATAATAATAGAAATTAGAAACTTAAAATATCTGGTTGCAAATTAATTAGGAAATCTTTCAAAAATGATTTAGCAACACAGTCATGTCTGTTGTCTACATTTACAAAAAAAATGTATAGTTCAGTTTTCTAAAAAATTTAAAAGAAAAAGTACAAAATTAATAGAA